TTGGTCTCAAGACCTTCCTCTTTAAACGTGCCTTCGGCCACGCTCCCACCCCCACTCCCCCTAACCCTCCAATCCTCTAGACCGTCAGGCCAACACTACTATGGTGCCTTGTTGTTACCTCTTGGGCGACTTATGAAAGGGGCGTCTGAAACATCTCCCTCCAGTGTCAATCAAACAAGCGTATAACAAAGTTATGCAGTGAAATTGTAAAATATCTTTTAGTTTTGCCGGTGATTGTATTGTGTGTGTGTGTGTGTGTGTGTGTGCCCGGTTTATCCACAAGCTGTAAATGTTACAGCTATATGAAGCGTTTTGAAACGTACTCCCGAAGTGAAAGGGGCCGTATCAATGTAAACTGTGTGTGTTTCGTCCTTGTAAAAAGAAACCGCTTCAAATCACATTTATTTTCCTGGTGTTCTTTTATTTTTTTATAGAAATAATTCAGCTGAAGCCCAATGCATTAAAAAAACACGCACAAATGCAACAATTGTAAAACAGGCGGGGAAGCACATCAAAGGAAAATGCTGCAACCTTTTGTGCCCTGTGCATTGCTATTATAATTTCTTCTTAAATACTGTGCCTTTCCAACAGATATTAAAATAAAGAATTTATTCCTCCACTGGATATTTCAAAGTGGCAACAATTTCATTGCATCAAATATCTCTTTCTTTCATATTTCTCTTTTTTTTAAAAAAAGAAGACACATTTCACTGGGAAGGAAGGAAACAAAAATAATGTGTTTTATGTAAATAACGTTTTTCCGTCCATTATACAAAAGATATCCTCTGTTACCTGGTTCCAACCTAGAGGTGCAGTCACTGAAACAGTCACCACTCTTTTAGACAACTATGCAAAACTTGGCAACAAATCTCTCTCTCTCTCTCTCGTATTAGAGTTTTCTCGTATTAGAGTTGATTGTATTGATGTGAAAGACAGAGACAAAACTGATTTGAGTTCATCGTGTTCCCAAATTGGAAATCCAATTACTTTCAGGTCTCTTGAGGTAAATATAGTTGATCCTCTATGAAAATGACCAGCTCGTCTGGCTTTTCACCTCTCCCTGCTGCTGGCTCTCCACCTCATTCAGACTATTGGAAATACATTTCAAATCGCTCTTGTGGCTGTTCGCATCTGGAGTCGGTCCGAATATCCAATCTATATGAAAAGAAAAGCATTGGACCTGAACGGAGTTGGATCGAGATTAGTTAATGTCTCGGTTTCTGACCGAAAACATGTTTAAGATCCACGACTGTGTGTGGGGACGCTGCTGTGCGCAATTGGCTGCCGCGTTTCGCCCACAAAATACACAGTCACTACACTTTACAGTATATTCTGTGAAGCGCTTTGAGACGTCTCAAAGACGTGATAAGGCACTGTATCAAATGCAGGAATTATTATTATTATTATTATAAAAATCCACTTGTGCATTTTACTGGAAGAAGCGCTTCTTTCAACAACTACTTTGCTGCCTTCCAAACCCCCCCACTATCTCCCAAAAAAGGACCTGACTTTAATAAAATTTAAATTTTCATCAAAATTGCTGCTTAGTGATTATCCCAGATACAATATTCGTCAAAAATATAATTCCCTCTCCCCTGCTCACAAATAATAATAATAATAATAATAATAATAATAATCCTTGCATTTGATATAGCGCTTTTCACGTCGGGAGGACGTCCCAAAGCGCTTCACAGAACGCACTGTAAAGTGAATTGACTGTATATTTGTGGGCGAACGCGGCAGCCAATTGCGCACAGCAATGTCCCACAAACAGTCGTAGATTGAAAATGACCAATTTAATTATTGTTAATAATTATTTAATTATTAATAACAATAATAATAATTATTATCAAACTACTTTTGATAAGTCTTTTTAAACATTGCTGGCATTATCCTTTCAGCTGAGACAGCGACTGAAATAACTGAAATGTCTAGCTGTCGTACTGAAATCAGCAGGGTCTTTATTTGAGGTGTGAAGCTGAGTTAACATGTGCAGTGTAACAGGTGGGAGAGCGATTGCTTCTAAAGGCTGGAATGCCTTACAAACTGGGTTAGCAGATGATTCTTATCAGCTATTTTCTTACAGCCTTTTTAAGATCAATCAGCAGCATCAAAACATCTCGCTGTAGTGAAGTCAGCATTTTTAATCCTTCATCGATGATAAACTCTCACTTTCAACTGTTACTTCTCAGAGATGATAGCTTTACACAGATTTATACAGACTGCATAGCATCAAATCAGGCCATTTGGCCCAACTAGTCCGTGTCTAGGTTTATAGTGTGTGAAGCCTTGAAGACATCCTCCCGACCTGAAAGGGCTTTGATAAATGTAAACTGTATTCTCTCAGCATTGCAGAGAATCCAGAATTTGGCAAATTGCCTAATTTGGACTTCACTCCGAAAGTGTTTTCTCTTAAGAAAATTAGCTTCAGGATTAAGGCAGCACTTAAGAACTTGTCAAATTCTGCATTCCCCGAAATGTTTCGGAAAGAGAGTAAATCTGGTCCCAGGAGGAGTTTCTAGCCCTCGGTTAGATCAACTCAAGTGATATTTCTGGAGACTGACTTTAATAGTTTTCACTCTACCTTCTTGTTGCTCACATTCATTGACCTTCTGTGCTCGAGACACTGCCCCTCGTGAAAGACGTCATATAAATACAGGTTGTCCAGTCTGTTCTGTCACTTAAGGGAAAGGCATGCATTGACATGCATCAGCCCAGGATTTTTTACCACTCTCTCTCTCTCTCCCTCTATAAATCCTATTTGTTCTTTTTTCTGAGAAGGTATGTTTTACAATTTAGATGTTCGGATTTAGAACAAAAATAATCCTGATGTTCCGATAAGCCGATCAAATGCAAAAAGGTTGCCTTTCCTGCTTAAAGGAAAACCAACTGTTTGCGGGTTAAGTGCAGGGATGTGTGGGAGAGGAGATGGGGCTGGCGGCTGGGGGCTGGGGGAGGCTGTTGAATAATAATTTCATTAATAAAAGCAAATGACATTTAATGTTATGAACACATTGGGTGGAAACGTCGCTTTTTTTTTAGAAAGATTAAGTGTCCCCTTGATATTTAATTATTATTAATAATAATAATAAAGTGTTATTGATCTGGCTGACCTATCACTGAAAAACACTTAGAAATTATCTCTACGGAGTCATTTAAACTGCAATAACGTAATAATAATAATCCTTTGGTACAGCGCCTTTCATGTCAGGAGGGTCACCTCAAAGTGCTTCACATGATTTACTGTAAAGTGTAGCGACTGTGCATTTGTAGGCAAATACAGCAGCCCAGCTGCACCCAGCGATGTCCCACAAACAACAACAAAAGGCCAATTTAATTTGGGGGAACTGTTACCCAGAACACCAAGAGAAACTCCCTTCTCTTTCCGAGCAGTGCCATGGGATCTTTAACATCACCTGAACAGACAGACAGGACTTTGGCTTAACATCTCATCTGAAGGATAACACCTCTGACGATGCAGCGCGCTCCCCCAGGGTTGCACTGGAGAGCCAACAACAACCTGCATTCACACAGCGTCCCTCACGCAGAGTAGCGTCCCAGAGCGTTTGACAGTGGCTGAGGGTGACGCCGAGCTGGGGGAAGGGGGAGGAGGTGACTGTAGGCACGGTTGGGTCGAATAGGAAGGTTGTCAGGCTGTAAAGTCAACCTAGTCTATGTGAGTTCAGGTCCCGGAGTGAGGTTTGTGCCCACAACCGTCTGACTCGGAGGCTGGAGTGCTGACACACTGAGCCGGGCTGTTTCGGGCTCGCATTTTCTTTTTGAAAAAATGGGCCAGAAATTTCCAACTGGGTCTGATTTTCACTGCGGGCTCGCTTCTTCTTTAGGCAAAAATGATCCAATCGAAGGCGAACAGTGATCGAATAAGTGAGAGCTCTCAAACAACAGCCAAGAAAATACCACAAACTTTGTGTTCAAATCATCCCGGGGTGTAGAATCAAAGGCTGCACGGTGTAAGCTCGAATTTTTATAATCGGAGACAATATCTGGGGGGTTCAAAGGAACCTTCGGGTGCTATTTGCTATTTGTTGCTGCTGTTGCGATCTTTATTTTATGTCAATTCGATGAAAACTTTCCTTTGTTTTTTTAGAAAGAGAGCGACAGACAGACAGACAGACAGACTGAGGGGACAGAGCGTATCACTGAACAAGTAAACGCTGCCAGGAAATCAGTCTGATGGGATTGAAGCTCTCCGGGACGCTATCCGCCCCCACCCTCGCGCGAAGGGCGCAAAATAAATGCAAGTTGTTGTCGTTGAACAGGTTTTCGGCCCCGAGGATAAATGTGCGATGCTGCTTCATAACCCATTTTGAGGGACGTTGCCGTGCACAAATTGGCCGCCCATTTGGTTCCCCAAAACGCACCCAATCGCTGCCCTGTGTTGTGCGGTAAACTCCTGATAACTCGTCGCTCCCGAAGGGAAAAAGAGCTCCCCGAGCAGTTATCCTGGTCGGCGACTTAGGCGTTCGCACAAATACACAAATAAATGCGACGGGAATATTGACAGCGTGACAACGCAAGTGATAGCGAGGAGTTAAACGAGCGGTTGAGCTATTCGGGAGCTCACGGTATATCCTGCGGGAAGCTCTGCCGAGGTCAAAGGTGCTGCGTCAACGTGCAAAGGTTACAACAATTTTCTTTTAGCTGCGCCCGATGCCCAATGATCGACAATGACAACTTACATTTATGTAGCGCCCTCCACACAGGGGTAGGGACCAAGGCTTGGAAAGCCAGGCGCTCGGTCAAACGTAAGGAGTACGATGATGATGATGATGATGATGATATTTTACTCACCCACAAAGTCATGGACAAGGTCCTTGACCAGGTGCCCAACGATAGCGTACGCCACAGCCACCACCACCAGGGCTGCCATGAGCAGGTAGAGCACAGCCTTGGGCAGGGGGATGGGGTCCCGAGGGGGCGGTGTGTACTCCCTGTACAGCAGCTCGTTGTCGGAGTAAGCGTACTGGAAGAGGCGCTCCATGCCCCCCGTGAAGTTGCCCCCGGCCCCCGCCGGCTCCTGCTCCGGGGGTGTGGTGGCCTCCGCCGCAGCCTCTCGCAGCAAGCCTGCCGCCGTGCCGTTCACCACCGGCAAGAGGTGAGACAGCAGCGCACTCCAGGTCCTCACCACACTCCCGTTACACAGGATCATGCTCTCTTCTGTGTGCGTGTGTGTGTGTGAGAGGTGTGTTCGTGTATGTAGTGTGTGTATGTGTATATGTAAGGTGTGTGCGTGTTTGTATGTGTGAGTATGTATATATATGTAAGGTGTGTGCGTGTATGTAGTGTGTGTGTATATGTAAGGCGTGTGCGTATGGGTAGTGTGTGTATGTGTATATGTAAGGTGTGTGCGTGTATGTAGTGTGTGTGTGTATATATGTAAGGTGTGTGAGTATGTAGTATGTGTGTATGTAAGGTGTGTGTGTGTGGGTATATATCTTTTACGGTGATCAGGGAGGGAAATGAGACAAAAAAATACAGCCTTGAAATTGTGGACGGAAAAGGGACACTTTTAGTTTCTCCTGTTGTAAGTTCGAGTTCCTCTCCTTCTCTCTTCTCTTCTCTTCTCTTCTCTTCTCTTCTCCAACCCTTTACAGTCAAAGCGGCGCCTGCTTTGATGCAATTGGACCGCAACACGCTGGCTGGCTGGCTACATGCTGCTGGGCTGCACCTCCAGTCTGGAACTGATCTCTGGCTCTCGCTAGTTGCTGGCTCTCTTTTCTTTCTCACTCTCCCAATCCCTCCCTCCCTCTCTCTCTCTATCAACTCTCTCTTTAAAACCGTTCCATATCCCCCAGCAGGGAGGAGGGAGTCAGCCTTCTAATCCTTCCACGCAGAGACAGAAGCAGGCAGGACATTGGTGATGGGACCCAGAGGAGGAGGAGACTGTTCGTGTCTGCATCTTTTGGACGCTGATACAGTTGCTCAATTTTTTTTTTAATCGGACACGTGCGGAAACCCATCACTGTTTGTGGGGACGCTGCTGTGCGCAATTGGCTGCCGCGTTTCGCCCACAAAATACACAGTCAATTCGCTTTACAACAACAACAACAACAACAACAACAACAACAAGATTACTTTTGTGTAGCGCCTTTCACGTCGGGAGGACTTCCCAAGTATATCCTGTGAAGTGCTTTGAGATGTCTCGAAGACGTGATAAGGCGCTGTATCAAATGTAAGGATTATTTTTATTATTATTATTATTACAAAAGGTTCTCTGATCAAAGCTTCCCCATTCGGCATTGGTTATCTCTGTGCCGAGCCTTCAGCCCCTAATGCCCCCACTTTCTGAACCTGTGGAAACGCCTTCGCTCCCCCCTTCTCTTCCTGCCTCTTAAACACTCTTTAAAAATGTATCTCTCAGACCTTGCCTTTGGGCAGCACCCTCCCAAGTCCTCGCTATCTCCTCCCTGGGTCGTCCTCCTGACGTGAAAGGCGCTATACAAACGTAATTTGTTGTCGTTGTTGTTCTTGCTCACTGCTCCCTCCGCATCACTGCTGTGAAACACTTCAAAACAGCATCTTGTTTTATTTCAGAATTCTTCTCATCTTTTATTCATCTGTCATCTCGATAGGTTTTCCTCTACTTACTTTTTCCTTTATGCTCTAAGGCAGTGATCCAGAGAGATTGTGTGTGTGTGTGTATGTGTGTGTGTGAAAGAGACAAGAACCTGCAATCAGGACTGTTTAGGCTCCAGTATTCTCTGTGAATCAAAGCATATTAGTGCCACGATGTGCTACAGTACTGAGACAACAACAATAACTTGCATTTATATAGTGCCCTTCACACGGGTAGTGTCCCAGAGCGCTTATTATATTTTTTGACCCATTCAAGTCGTTCATTCCTATTTCTCACCATTTAAAAGAAGAGTCAAATGCAGTGTATTGACTGACTGAGTAGAGATTAACGCTTGAATCTAAGAACACAACAGTAGGATTCTGACACCATAGTGTCCGTGTTAATCACACCTTATTTCAGCAAAATGATCCTGTGTCTTTCCTATAACTCCTTGCAAACATTCCCACAAACATGTACGACTTTTACAAAGTTATGCACATAACATATACCATATTTCACTGGGGGGAAAATTCACAAATAAGAACTCATAGGGTACATGGATAGGGCTGGCTTTGGCTCTCAACATACAAATAAAGCTAAGACTCGTTTATTATATATGTTTTAACCCATTCAAGATCAATAGAGGCCGGTAAAGACTTACTGAACATTGATAATCTCTCCTTTAACCTTACTCTGTACTACCCCTTCACAAACGAACCCAAATATCAAACATTGTGTAAAGTAGACAGACACTACACTTTACAGTGTATTCTGTGAAGCGCTTTGAGGCGTATCAACGATGTGATAAGGCGCCATATCAAATGCAAGGATTATTAGTGTTATTAGTATTATTATTATTATTAGATGTCAGGCTGTCTCTCTCCCCTGGGGCAAAAATGTGGGAGTTCATGCCCTATTTCACAGTCTAGGCGGACACTTTCATACCGTTGTGGAGGAGTGCTGCCTTCAGATGAAATGATAAATTAGGGTATCCCTTTAAGTGAAGTGTTCAGTCCTTCAACCATAGGTGGAGCTTTAGCGAACAGGAGGGGGAGTAAAGATATAAATTGCAAAGATTAAAACTGCGACCAGTTCTTTAAGTCAGAAACAATACTTTAAAATTTAAAGTAATCAAGGGTAATTTAAAAAAGCCTCCAGATCATGAAATAATTACACACTCACTCGTATCAATTAGCTTCTGTATTAAGGCATTAAAAAAGAACCATAGATTTGGAATTAGCAGGGCTCTCGTCTATACTTATTAATTATTATTTGGAGCCCGATATTCGTTCCCCTTCTGTAGCTAAAGGCATCTTTTGTGTTCAGTGCTGTGTTTAAAGCCCCTTCTGTTGGTCAGGACTAAAGTAATATCTGTGAAAATAAGCCGAGATCGATGTCTTGTTTTTCGCAGGTGGGCAATAATGTCACCCACTGTAGTGCCGTGCAGATTGCTGATGGAAATCACCATGGGGTTGATTGTATGACATTGTGATGCAGCAAGTCTGAGCTTGACTCAGTCAGTAGATTTTCTCAGCGGGTGCGTTGGAAGGATGTTGGATTCCACCCCCACATCGAGATGTTGAGCTCACACTCTAGGCTGACACTCCAGCCCCACAGTCATGAGAGTAGCGCTAATGGCACATTAATAGACTAAGCTCACTTCTGCCAGATGGAGATGAATGTTAAAGATCCCTCGACACTATTCAAAAAGGGAAGGGTGATTTTTTCCTGTTACCCTAGCCAGATTCATTGGTCACTCAGTGGTTGTTTGTTCATCCCACTGAGTACAATTTAGCTGCTGTGTTTGCCTACAAGTATACAGTCATTACACTTAACAGTGAAATCCTAGGGTGGGATTCCTCACATTTGGTCCTAAGGGTTGCGAAAAGTTTGTGGTAATAAGATGGAATGACCCGTTGCATTGAAGAGTATAATTGTGTAATACTTAATTCAGGGCCGGGAAACAGACATGTCAAGGGACAGCCAGGCCGAGTGTTCAATAGGATTTTCTGGCATTTCATTAATCAGCCTGTACTGCAGCCCCTTTACAGCTGTCTCCTTGAGCTAAAGATCTGGGCAATGTTGGACAGGTTCACTGTACATCACTTGTCTCCACAAGCTCTGTTTGTCATCCTTCTGCTGCTTTATCTATACTGGTGACGGGGGGGGTGGGGGGAGAAATCCATCCTTACACGAACAAATAACACTTGTTCAAAGTTGTCTAAACAGACAAGGATACGAAAGGATGACGTGGCATAGGACCACCAAAAGATAGAATACAAAACCCAAACATTGATCAAGCCTTGAGCAGATCTAAAAAATTTCTCCCCCATCGAAGCAGTCGGTGTTTGCCAACAGTCACTACACTTCACAGTGAATCCTGTGAAGCACTTTGAGAGGTTTGTATCAAGTCAGTGGCTCAGATTCCCAGCAAAAGGTATTGAAGCTGTATCGATGAACTCGAGAATCATGTAAGCTGCTGACACGGACTATTTTGTGAAGAAATGCCATTTAGTGAGTGAGTGAGTCCATCGCCTGTGGGGTTGAACTGCAGAGAGAAGGAGGAAGAACCCAATAAAAAGATGAGCTAAAGTTTTGTACGCCTACAAAGTACACAGTCACTACACGTTGCAGTAAATCCTGTGAAGGACGTTGAGACGTTTCACCAATATGGAAAGGAGCTATAACAAATGCGAGGATTAATATTATTATCGTTGTGCCATTCGTAGAATAAAGTGGCTTTAGTACACCACATTCATGCTGTTGATTTTCTCACATGGATGTGATAGTATTTATTTTGGCAAGCATCTGGGAAGTATTAAAGTCAGTAAAGTCTTCCATCCTCCAAACCGCAAACCAAAAACGTCCATTCTATAGCCATGAGCCCAGTAAGGGATTAGATTCTCTCAAAACTAAATCTACTTCAGTATTCAAAAGATATTTAATAATTCATTAACTTTCAAATAAAGAGCTGCTGTTTCTTTGTAATCTTTGGTTTGCTTTTGTTGGGCTTTAAGATTTCTGCCTCACACTATCCCTTGTGTTTGGTCGTCATGTATTATACGAATTATAAACGTGAGCCCAAGTCAACTTCACTTTGATAATAAATGAATATAATATTTGCTAACCGATTCGGAAACGAACCACCCCAAAAAAAAGTAAGTGGGTCTTAGGTCTGTTTCTATCGTGCTGCTGTTAAGAAAGAAAGATTTTCAATGTCCTTGAATTTATTTCTTGCAGGCATTAGCATCGTGCTCATTAATAATCAAATTAAGTTATAATGGCAGGATTGGCACACAAACCCACCATTCATCTCAGTCCCAATACCAGCGGGGGTGGGTGTTGTAAAGCTGACATGCACAGCAGGGCAAATCATTCAGGAGCAAAAAAAAACCAGCCACTGCATTCCAGAATCACTTAAGTCTGTAAGTGACTGTTGCATTGTTATTTAAAATATCCAGATTTTCATATTGTATATATTATATATATATTACACGTCAATTGTTTTTTGCAAAACCCAATTTCAGAAGTAATGTAAA